GTGTAATGACGGGTCAGAAATTGGGCCAACTGGGCCTCGCCGATCAACCCGTACTCGCCAGCTCAACACTTGTTTCCGCAACGAGCAGTCAACCGATCAGCAGCTTGCCTTAGCCTAGGATTTTATTATCTGATTTCCATTATTTGAATGCTATGAACTAGTTAATGTTTAAAGGTTGTTAGTGTTTTTCTCCACCTTTAGGGGAGGCTTATTTGGGATTGTCAGTTGGTTGTCAATCTTGTAAGACATTCTATTGAGTCCATGTTTTCGTTTATAAGCTCTGAATGGGATAAAGAAGGCAAGTAGAATATTAGCAGCTGAAACTTTGATATTTTCTCGCCAACAAAAGAGAAATTGGCTCAATCCCACCTAGAAAAGGGATTCATACACTCATACAATTTTGATCCGTATCACACCATGTTTTAAAGTTTCTATAACCGCAAAAATTACCCAAACAGGATAAAGGTTGATTGAAAAGTGTGTAAAAGAACAATAAGAGTGATTGTTACTCGTACCTACACCAAGAACCTAGTTTTGCACCTTGTGCCTATCTTCCTTCACTTAGAACATTCTATTCGTAATTGGTCAAGTAAGTTAAACTTGAATGGGATTCCTAGGATGTGATTTAAGTTCATGGGCATTGAAGAGTGTCACGACCATGTCTCTTGAAAAAGAGAGGGCTAGAAGAAAAAGTGGGTCTCATGACCAGCCTTGCTCTCACCAAAGGTAGATCGCGACATCAAGTTCACCCTTATGAGAAAATATCAAGATCGTAATATCTTAGGTGTTCACGACAAAATGAAGACACAACAAAGTTCACGAGCTCTTCTTAGAGTGCACGATCAGAACTCTGCCAGTGAACTAGACCAAGTTGCAAAGGCAAACATATCATATCTTGAATTTCCAGCACAACTTTGAGAGAGAAAGGGTTAAGGTTTATTTGGTAGAAGAGAGGGAGCTTGGAAAAGAAGGAGAGGTTGAGCATGGAGCTATTTTCCATATTGAAGCTGTGAAGATGATGTCTCCTTCTTCCTTTTCTTGTGTATTTACTCCCCCTTTTGAAGCTATGAGCCCTATTCAATATTTATGACTATTTGATGTTTGATTATGCCAATTTGTTACTTTAGATTAAGTGACTGATTACTTTGCTTTTGACATAAGCTAGTGACCATCTAATTAGGTCAAGACTAGAACCCACATCAAGTAGTATGAGATTTTAATTGCATAGCGATTGAATCAAAGGGTCATTTTCCTTCGGGTCTATATACAATTTCAGAATCTACATGTAAAGATCTTGTGATTAGTTGGTTGTATGACCATCATATCTCTCTTGAGGTAGTGTTTAGTCGCAATTTAGTTACCTTCGTATTATTTAGTGTAACTCATCAATCAATTGATCGGTTAGATAGTAACTATTGGCCTATTCTATGGGCCTAATGGCCTATGGAAATACAATCTTGATGGTCAACTCTATGATACACCACTTAATTATAGTATACTTTATTTGAGTAAGTGTAGCATAGTAGTTAGACCATTGAAGTTTTATTTAACTTGTGTCTACAACCAACATTCTAAACATCAGAAAAGAAATGGGGAAACCAGGCTAGGAAAAAAAAAAGGGAAGGCATGAGATATGTCACTATGTACCTGTTCATTTTGACTCAATTTTTTTTAAAATTTAGCATAGAAGAAATGAGTTCTCTGGTTTACAGCTTTAGCCAACTGCCCAAGCCACCCAAAAATGACTAAGCTGAACTTATAGAAAGAGAATAATAAAAAATTAAATTCAACATCATTAAGATGCTAGCAAATATTTTCTAAATTATTCAAAAATTGTTATATTGAGGCAATAAATGGAAGGATTGGTGGGTGAATTATTGAGGTAATTATATTAGAAAGTTCAATAGATGACGTTGTCATGGAGTTGGTTCCAAATTATTTTACAATGATTATATATTTGATGAACAAGCCATACTTTTCTTAGGTCTGAATAATGAGGGTTCATATAATTGCTTGAATAATTAGTAGAATAAAGTGATTATTGAACACAACATGCAATTCGGGAATTAGAAAATAAGAGATATCATGTAACTAATGGAAAATATATTTATTATCTTATGAAAAAGCTCTACATCACTTGGAATTGAACTAGTTGCACATCAGTTACAGTTACAAATGCATTACACATACATTCACGTCATAATTATCACATATAAATAACATAAGTTAATATTAAATCGATCATCTATATAAGATGATCGGTACTTATTTTACAACAAGTGCATGCATTGTGGGCTTGCTATTTAGGGTTCATAAGTGGGACATCCTGGAATAGTTTTAGCGTACGGGCCTTGGCAAGGATCAAGGACTCCGGGATGAATGAATTTCTGATCTTTCTCCTGCGACATCACCACTGCGGCAAACATTGCTAGTAGGAAGAAGAAGAAGAAAACAATCCTTGCGTAATTCATTGTTAAAGAATGAGGTGAGAATTTTTGTTGGGTACTCTACTCGATGGATGATTGGTTATTATATTCAAATTTAGACATCTAATATTGGAAAATCTAATAATAGTTTGGGGTGATTGAGTATTTATAGCATGTTCTTTCATCGTTTCTTTTCCCTATTTTTTGCATCAGATTTACTCGGTTGTACTTAGCTTGTAAAGCTATCGCAAAAGTAGTTTATCCTTCAAACAAAGTTCATAAATGGATTTACATTTGAAATGTGTAAATATATAATGAAGTAAAATGTCAATTACAAAAGGAGATTAAAGGAGGGAAAGTATATTATATAATTATATTCATTGAATAATATAAAAATTTAATAACGACTAACAAGAACGGAGGAAAATATCTACCTTATTCGTGGAACAAATAAGACATCATGATGGATGTCTAGATCTCAGGACTTGAGATAATGTGGTCGAAACTCTCAAGTAGTCAAGTGGGAGGCCTAATTGATTAACAATTATAGGAATATGATAACACCCAAAATGGTGTTATTTAGCCTTCATATTTAGGGTCATTCCAAGTCATTTCATGGTCTTACTGGTTGATGGTCGATATATCATCAAATACATCCCTCTTTCGTTCCTCGAAGAGAATATTTTCATATTAGTATGTTTTAGATTATATGAACGTTTTTTTGTACGAAATGGGGTCACAAATGTAGAAGAAGGGGCCAAAATGGAGTTTGCGTATGAAGGAGTGAAGATCACGGCCGAGATGTTGGGGTGCGGAGTAGAGCATAAAGATCACGACCTTCAAGCCAAAGATTGCGGCCCAGAAATGGAGCTTCAGGGCAAACTTGAAGATGCAGTCGTCAAGGGAGGACCAGAGAGTCTCGATAGTCAACTCGTGACTCCTGTTGTCCCAGCCTGCAAGAAAGATCACGGTCGTGACTCACATATCGTGACCGTAAATTCAGGCCGCGATCTCCAAAGCCAGACGGACCAAAGTCACTAAAATTAAGATCGCAGCCTCTCTCCTTCATATCACAGTCGCGATCTCCTACCTCGTGCTCGTGAACTTGCCTGTGTCCTCAGAATTCTATAAATTGAGGACTCCTCCCCTTGAATAGATGGCTTTTGGCAGATTTCTTGTTATAGAGTGAGGCTAGAGAGAGAAGTAGAAGCTTGGAGAAGAAGAGGAGGAGAAGAAGTGGAAGAGAGATTTGGAGGAGGATTTCCAGCAATTGAAGACCCCTTCCTCATGATTTCTTTCCCTCTTTGCATGTCTCTTCTTCCCTCCTTCATGGGGTAGTCCCTCAAGTTATTTTTAGGCTTCATCCCCCAAATCCTAAACTAGGGTTTGGTATATAATAGAATGCTTTAGGCTAGATTTGTGAATTACTATGAACCTATTTGCCTATGTCTATTTCATGATCGGCTTTCTCTACATCAAGTAGTGTGGATTGTCTGTATCCCATTAGCCTTAGTTTCAACTTATGTGATAGGTGATATTCATTCTCATTCTTGTGATCTATGGATGAATTGTGTTTACCTAGAGTTTTGTGCTTCATCTATGATTAATTGTGTTTGCCCTTGTCTCTCCAACTATTTTCATTTAGCCTACCACTAAGTCAATGAAAAAGTTAGGAGTTCATGAATTAGACTAGATTCGATTTTACCCCTTGAAATTCCAACCTTTGATTTTACCCCTTGACATTCCATCCATTTCCTCTGGTTATTTGATTTAATTAAGATTAATTAATAGGGATTAATTTTAAATTTTAAAACCCAACAAGTACAGGTGTTGCCCTAACCAATTTTGGATCCGACTCATTCATTTTTTATGGGTCGAATCTAAATCCAAAAGTCTGGGTTTTAGAGAATCGGCTGCCACTGTCAATCAGTTTAGGGATGACAATGAGTCGGGTCGGGGACGGATAGTGCATATTCGTTATTCTACCCAGAGTAGTTCGGGTTTTACCCACATAAGAAACAGGTAGAAAATCCAAACCGTGTCCATACCCGTTCGGGTTTCGGGTATCCACGGTTATCCATGGGTAATGGTTTCTCTTTAACTTCAACCAATATATTAATATTCACACTTATTCTCACGTTACGTAAGACGAAAAGTACGACAATTATTCACTATAATGAAAAAAATTAATTAAACAACACAATTCCAAAAAATATTATATTTATATGGTAAACATAAAATATGTTAGACAAAAATATTGATTATTTCTAGACAAAATACATATGCATGTGTATAATCGGGCGGGTTCGGGTTGGATAGTGAGAAAACAATGCCCACCCATTACCCGCAATATTCGGGTTCGGGTTCGGATTTTACATGTACCCACTAAAAGTCATTCGGGTTCGAGTTTTACCCTACCCGATTATGTCGGATTCGGGCGGATATCCACAGTTGCGAATATTTTTGCCATCACTAAATCGGTCAAATCCAAGGCAAAGCCCATCTCCAAATTGTTGTGAAGCTCCCGCCGGAATATAGAAACGGAATTCGAACACCACCAAATTCAAATTTTGGAACCAAAGAGAAAAATTAAAAAAAAAAAAAAGGTGAATGCCAGTCGCCAGAGAGCCAAAGGCAGATCTATGACTATGAGTGACAAGGAGAGATGCCGCAAAGACTCTAGAGTAGCAGAGACTGAGCGTAGAGATATGGGAGAAATGGAGGCTGACAAGGAAGAGAGGCAACTCCGCAGTAGAATCGCCAAAATCTTCGACGAGGCCAAGACCTCCAACGCCACCCACATTCGGAAGCTCAAGGACCTCTCTTCCGTCCTTGCCAAGGCCTCCTCTCCTCGCCAGTTCGCTGCCGCATTCTGCAGGGTTTTGACTCCTCTTTTCTGCATCCAGCGCCGGACTTCTTCCGCTGAGCGCATCGTCCGGTTTGTCTCCGCTTTCGCCTGCGCCCGCGCGTCTTCCGGCTGTGACCAATTTCTCGAAGACTTGGTCCAGTTCTTGCTAGTCGCTTCTGCTGCTGCAAATAAGACTGCGAGGTTTAGGGCTTGCCAGATGATTTCTGAGGTAATTTTACTTGGTGAATTGTACATTTAACATTAGGGATTTCTGCTTCCCAGCTGGTTGTTGTCTCGTCGTCTTTAGTTTCCGCGTTTTGCCCTAGTCCCTTAAAACTGCGATTCAACCTGGCGAAGTGACGTCCCACTAGTGAATGGCTATTGTAGAGTTTTTAAGATGAACAGTAATTTATTTTTGGCAAATCCAGAAGCAGGTCTGGTGATAGTCTTCTCTTTTTATTCTGTTAGGTTGGAACACGGGAGCATATCTTTCACTTTTCTGAATGCTTAATATACGGTCTTAAATTTGCAGATAATCATGAGGCTGCCTGACGATGCGGAAGTGAGTGATGATGTCTGGGATGATGTGATTGAATGCATGAAGTTGCGTGTTCGTGACAAGGTTTCTTTTATTCGCACATTTGCTGTTCGAGCTCTTTCCCGATTTGTGAATGATGCCGAGAACAGTGACATCCTTGATTTGCTTCTGGAAATGCTTCAGCTGGAGCAAAGTGCAGTGAGTATCCCTATTATTGGTTCAATAGCACAACTTCTTAGCTTTAAATACAGTTGGATAAATTTTTTCTTGTTTATTCTGTTGACACATCATTTAGAAAGCTTGTGCTCCAATTTGCTTTGGTACTTACTGCTGTATTAATACATCTATTAGCAGTTGTACCTAACCTGAAATGTTCCAGTAAGTGGATAGATTTAAATCATGGTCAGAGCTTACTGCTTTGTTTTCTTTTGATAGTTTCTTTGAAACAAGGTATGTCCTTTTACCATGATTTGACTTTTCTCTTCAGTAACTGCTTTTGGTTGCCTATGTTCGAATCATACTATTACAGCCTATTTCCCTAGACTGTGAGAAGTGTGTAGTTCCACTTCACTTAAAGATGGCAGTAGGAGGGGAGTTGACACCCTTGAGTTTTGTAGTAGAAATGAATATTTGATCTAGCAATCACTAAAAAAGCCTTCCTGGTACATTCTTGAAGAACATAAATTTGCACGATAGAGAAGTGAATGTAAAAGGATTCTAGCACCTTCATAAAAAATCGTCAAATTGTTGATAGTATGTAAAAAAATGTTTTTGTGGTTTGAAATAATTTGTAATCTTTTACCTTTGATTTAATGATAAGAGGGTAATACTGTGCATTGCTGGTGCATGTTGCAGGAAGTTCGTAAGACCATTTTGCTAGCTTTGCCACCAACAAATGCCACCTCACTTCTGATTATTGATTGCACCTTAGATGTGAGCGAGGCAGTTCGCAAAGCTGTGTACTCTGTTATTGCCAGTAAATTCCCCTTAAAAAGTCTCAGGTGATTTTAAATTGTAGTTAATATTACTAAACTGCACCCTTCACCTGGACCACTTTATTGATGTTTTAATTTCAGGTTATGGTGAATATTTAAGTCATTACCTAGGTTCAGTGTTTTTTTAGGAAGTTGACTTAGGAATGTCGTGTTGATCTGGACATTTGATAATATGACTTACTCTTCATCAGTTCTTTTTTTTTGTGGCTGCCTTATTAATTCAGCATAAAGCTGAGGACACTTATCCTTCAGAGAGGACTTGGTGATCGTTCCATTATTGTCTCAAAGGAGTGCCTGAGGCTGTTGAGAGATGAATGGTTTTCTAAGTCCTGCAATTATGATCCTAAAGAGCTTTTGAAGTATTTGGATGTTGAGACTTACGAATTTGTTGGAGAAGCTGTGATGGATGCTTTGTTGAAAGATGGCTCGATAAAGTTACATGATAAACAAAGCATCCAAGAGTACATCGTTTCTACTGTTACTGAAAATGAAGGTTGGGTTCAGCTCTCAAGTTTTCTGATTGTCTGGTTAGAAGAGAAAATTGATTATCAATCCCTGTAGTAGTTGATCAGTTACCATTTCTGATTACTTAAATGATGATTATTCTTGGGAACCGAAGTGTAATAATGTTCCCCCCATCCCCTTTTTGCTGATTAGGTGCAATTAGTGTTTTGTTTGTAGGAAATTGAACATGAAACTTTATGAACATAGGATAGGCTTGCATAAAAAACAAAGTTACACATCTCCATGAAGATGCCTTCTGTATTGCTCCTCTTTTGTTGACAGGTTTTAGGTTCTTTTACCAAAATTTCCCAAGGAAACTCATTTGCTTATCATGTCATGCTTAGTATATTCATATAATGGTTAAAGAGTAATTCTTGAAGAAGTTTTGGCCATTGATGTGTTTGGTAGGTGTTCTGTAAAGTTTCTGCTTGTTGCATCATGTTTTTTAAATTTGGTTTGTTCATGACAGGAGATCCAGCAGATTCACCTCCCAGTATTCAGCTTATGGAACCAGAGTCTGCTATTTATTGGAAAACAGTGTGCAGGTTCTTACAAACAAAAGCACAAGTATGCTTTCCGTACTGCCTTTGATCTTTTTCCCATTTGGTTTTTGAATATTTTTTCTCTTTCTTTTTGTGATGTCCAAACTTTGTGATTGGAATGAAGTGTCGGGTAGACGCTTGTGCCACTTCCCTTTGCTAAATATTAACTTGGACACTTGATAGGTTTGGAATTTAGTTTGTCAAGGTGGCTCATCCACTTACACAGATCACGCGCTGGAAAAGCATGAGATTTTTTACCATGAATTTTAGGTTTTAACCACATATGAATCGGTCCGGAAAAGAGGAAGGGATCTGTAGATGCTCACAATAGAGGATTTCAACGAGTATAGTAGTACCTGTTTTTTCTGGATATCTTGCGTTAATTAACCTGCGGCCTTTTGTAATTTCATGTTTGGGCAGGCCAAAGGCTCCGATGCTGCTGTAACAACAGGCACTGAAGCTGCAATGTATGCAGCTGAAGCTTCAGATAACAATGACTTGTTGGACAAAATACTTCCGGCTACAGTTTTTGATTATGTAGCTCTTGTCAGAGCTCATATAGATGCTGGTGGGTTGCATTCTCTGGGTCACAGTAGCGATCATTCTACATATTCTAATTCTATCTTCATTAATTTCCAGGAGCAAACTACCGCTTTGCATCTCGGCAACTGCTACTACTTGGTGCCATGCTGGATTTTTCTGATTCTACAAGCAGGAAAATAGCCGGTGCCTTCCTGCAAGACCTGCTGCGTAGGCCCTTAGACTTTGAAATTGACGAGACTGGGATTGAAGTGGTCATTGGAGATGGGTTAAACCTGGGCGGTGACAAGGATTGGGCTGATGCTGTAACCAGTTTGGCAAAAAAAGTCCATGTTGCAATTGGAGAAATCGAGAGTGCTGTTCTTGGGGTTGTAGAAGAACTTGCCAGGCCTTGTCGGGAGAGGACTGCTGATTTCAAGCAATGGATGCACTGCCTGGCTGTGACTGGTCTTCTTTTGCAAAATGTAAAGTCGTTTCACTTGCTTCAAGGGCAGGCTATCCAACCATCCGAGTTGCTGCAGTCTTTGCTGCTTCCTGGGGTATGATATAGAACCTTGCTGTTTCTTTTTATTCTGTTGTACTTCACTTATGGCACTACAAAAATTTCAAATAACGAACAATTGGACCTGGCCATATCTAACATGTGGTATGGTTGTTATGGTTGAGAAACTTGTCAAAACTGGATTTTCTACAACGAAATTCTGTCAAATTCCATTTTATCAGTAGCACTGCGTTATACATTTGTCCCTTTCATATAAGAGAGACTGCTTTGTGGTTATGAAACTTAAAATTTCCATTATGATTTGGTGCTTGTTGCCCTGAAAAATCCAGGCCTATGAACCACTTGCTAAATTCTAGAACTCACATCTGCTGGGTGCATGTTTGATGAATAGTTATGCTCTAATAGCCCAAACTTCTGTGCAATGTGTTAATAACTAAGGGAGTGCATGTAGTTTGCTAAATACCGTTTCTGACGATATATTTAACACCTGACATGAACTACTTAATGCAGGCGAAACATGCTCATTTAGATGTGCAGAGGGTTTCTGTTCGATGCCTTGGTCTTTTCGGCTTGTTAGAGAAGAAGCCAAGTGAAGATGTGGTGAAGCAGTTAAGGGTTTCTTTCATAAAGGGTCCAGCTCCTATCAGTACAATGGCATGTAAGGCTTTAATAGACCTTGCGCTTTGGCATGGTCCTCTTGAAGTCGATAAGGCATTGAGGCCGGGTGATGCCTCTCAATTGGAGCAGATCAAAATGGCATTTACTGCTTTAAACTTCCTCGATGCTGATGATAATATGGACGCTGAGTTTCTGGACCTTTTGTATGCTGGTCTTGACAGAACTGACTGGGGGAATTCGGTAGAAAGTGATGAAAGTGAAATTATGCAAGCAGTTATCGGTGAGGGATTGGGGAAAATTCTTCTCCTAAGTGAGAATTATACAAGCATACCAACTTCTTTACACCCTTTGCTCTTGGCCAAGCTTATTGAGTTGTATTTTAGTGATGAAACCAGTGGTTTGCAGAGGTAAATTGCCAAGTGTCTCTTCCTTTTTTTAATGAGGGTCACATAGATTAGTTCATTCGGTGCTATTTAAGGGATTCGAACATGGGACTTTCAGATTGAAGATCAGTGGTATTACCTCCTTTTTAGGATAGTGTATTTTGCTTCTCCCTAGGGGTGGTCTTCTCATTAATGTTTTTGTAACCCATGGTGCAGGCTGAAACAATGTTTATCTGTCTTCTTTGAACACTACCCTACACTTTCAGCTAATCACAAGGTAAGTGTATGTCAACCAATGTTCAACAGTTTCTGTTATGCGGAAATTTGAGTCACTTTTGTTTGTTGACTTAATAGAATTTCCTTTCGGTTAATGCAGAAGTATTTGTCTAAGGCGTTTATTCCAGCAGTGCGTTCAATGTGGCCGGCAATCTTTGGAAATGCTGGAGGAACTGCTGTCATAGTGTCTAACTTGCGCAAACATGCAACCCAAGCATCCCGGTTCATGGTCCAGATGATGCATGCTCCATTATATGCTGTGCATGATGAGACTGAGAATGCAGAGAGTGGTACTGGATCAGTGGAAAATGCAAACCATTCATCAGGACCTTCACTTGAATGCAGAGAGGAAGGACTTGCAGTACGCATAGCTGCAGAGGTTTGCAACACAATCTTCTTTTGCAATATTCTTGAAAGTTGCATGAAATTCACAATATGAGGACTTCAATTCTGTTTTGTCATGGCTCATAGTGCATTCTATGGAGTGAAGGAAACATAATGCGGGCAATACTTAATTTTCTTAATTGTATATGTGGGTAGTCTTGCTCACTGTCTCTTTTGCGAGGATCAGAACTAACACCTGCGTCATGAAAATACTATCCTCGCTCAGGTTACTATATATGTCTTTTGCAAGGGTAGTATTTTCTGACGCAGGTTCTAGTCTGATCCTCTATGAATTTCAACATTGCATAAAAAGGATTAGACAAGAAAAGAGGGGCTCTATATCTTGTACTTTACTTTTTTCTTTCAGTGTGGAAACATATTACAAACAATGACTTAGACCTTAAAAGACATTGTTCCATTGAGTATCAACAGAAATGTTGTATTCCTGCAACTCATACTCTACTTTTACCTGCTTCCTTTCAGCTTGCCAGCTTCACAGGGAAGAGAACAGCTGCAGAGAGGTCATACATGTCAGCACTCTGCAGAACACTAGTCCTGATCCAGTTTCATCCATCAGAACAAGACGCGATAAGGCTAATGAGACGTCTTTTGAATCATCTGACTGCAAATGTACATTTAGAGAAAGATGCCATGAAAGAGTTGAAGCTGATGGCTGAACGTCTTGAGTCAGTTGACAGTCGACCAGAGGAGGCACTTGCGCTGGAACAGGCCAATCTTATACTTGGTACAGCTCTAATTTGTTCCTTTGAACTTTCTAGAAACTACTTAAACTGTTTGGAAGTGACATTTTACTTCCCATCTTCTTTCTCCATTAGTTCTGTCAAGTGGGTAAGCTTGAGGGTGGTTTATACTTTATACTGTGGTTCGAATAGAAAGTTGGAATGGGTTCCATACCCAGTTACTCATGGTTAACGGTTTTGGTTCAGTGTTAGATTATGGTTGGGTAGCGATTTTCAGAGTATAAACGCGGTTGTTTGTTTTGTGGTTCGGTTAACTGTACTTAGGTAAGCTGGAGTTGGACTTCAACTTGGATGTCAACGTTCCTGCTGCTAGTTGTACGATCCCGCAAACGCCAGCTCGCCCTCGACCAGGTAGAGGAGCAAGCCGGTCGAGGAGGCGAGCGAAGGACGATGAAGAAGAAATGTCTTCGGAAGAAGAAAGTTCGCCCGTGTCAGTTCCGGTAGCTGCAGGGAGTAGCCGGTCGCAGAGGGCGAGCAAAACTGCAGCATTGACCAAGATGATGAGTACTGCCAACAGAGTTGCTACGGCAAGAATTGAGGAAGACGATGAAGATGAAGGAGAAGAGTCGGAGGTGACGTCACAAGATTCTGATGACAGTGACGAGGAAGAGTTCTTCTAAGGTTTCCCTTTTCAGAACATGCGTATAGGTGCTGTGCTTCCTCGGCACTAGTTCCATTGCATTGACGACATTCCAGAGTTTAGTTTCTGTTATTGTTATTATGTCCACTAGGTAATGGGAACAACTGTGTATCGTATGTGCTCTGTGATGGCCTGAATTGGTGTCTGTGTGTTTTCACAAGCATGTTAAGGCTATTCCTACTGGGCATTCCATAGTTCTCCCATACTTATCCAAAACCAACAAAACATACCAAGAAGACATCAAAGAGTACAAAACATAACCTAGGTCTATTGAAATGACTAAAGATGCTTTACTAAAATGAGGAAGTGTATTAAGAACGATAGTGATAACACTATAATAAAGTGTCATCAGAAATACCCTATACTTGAACTTTGCTTGTCTCAAGCAAACAGTCAAACCATATAGCTCAATGAATTCTAGGAACTAGCACTCAATCATGATTTTAGGTACCGGATCAAAAATAACTTACAAGATCAACAAAAGCACAAGAGAATCCTAACCACATCGATATGAAAGAACATCATACCACTTAACCAAAGCACCAACTACTAATCATGCATCAGAGTCTCAAAACGATAGGGTGAAGCTTTTGATAAAATTTAAAGTTTTGAGTGCTTTCTACCATCAACTTGAAATTTTCTTAAAGCACTTTGCCTTACTCAAACACATACTCTCTTTAGATTTTTCGAATTTTTCTTCTCTTGCAAACAACTACTTTTTTCTTTTTCTGTTTTTTTCCCTCATGGTGGAGAGTTCTTTTTGAACTTTACCCTTATTGATCATGGAATTAAGGGGTGCCAGTAGCTTTATCCATGCCCTTAATAACACATCCTCAAGTTGACACTCAATTCGACGGGTGGAGATTTTACTTGTATTAGAGAGGAACATGCATCACCTGGTAGGACTTTCCCGCCAAAGCTCAACTAGTATCTCTTCCAAAACCCGATTTTAGTACAATGAAAAGATGCCTCACATGTTGGGATTACCCCACACTTTATTTCTTAACATAGCATGACAAATTTTCGAATGAAATATGTCTTGATGGGTAGATATTTTGCATTTTTCTAAAGATACAGTTCACCCTTTGAAAACTTTTGAAAACATGAGACTCTTTTGCTTAATCAGAAATCTTTGAATAGATCAAATGATATGGCATTCAAACATATCAAATGGTTATTACCTCTCATGGACTATCACATCCTTCATACTCACTGCAATATCCTTCCTAGATCAAGTGATGATTACTAGACTCATTGATCCAAAGTAAGATGAGAAGTGATCATGATTTTAGGGGATGACTGAAGTCATTAGATGGAAAAACATTTTTAATTTTTTAATTTTTTTAGCACATCTCACAACAATTTTAGCATTAATTTTTTTTCAAATTTTCAAATTTAAACAACTAAACACGTATCCACTAGTAAGCACATCAAGGAAAAGCATATCAACCATTCCCACCCGACACTTTAAAATGAACATTGTGCTCAATGGACTAAAAACATAGTGAGTTGTGGTAAAGTTGAAACGAATTACCTCGATTGTTCAGAATTCGAATTCGTCCATAGTAGCTAGTTCTCCATGATTGTTTGGAAGAGACTCAAAATGTCTAAACAAAAAGAAAAATACAAGTGGCTTCTTCAAACTTGATCTCCTACATTCCTGCACCTCCTTTTGGTGGTCCACTGCCTGGGTAGAGGCTACAGATGATCTGTTGAAGTCCTCCATCCACGAACGACTCCACTCCTGGTGTTCCTCCTATCTCTGGCGCCAAGCTCGAGTCTTGTCAAGATCCATTTGTGTCTCATGCTCAAGGGCATCCAAATGTTGCTCGTTGAGTGTCTGGTAGTTGCTTAGGCTCTCCTCTGTACGTCCCACAACTGCTCTCAACTCTGCCATCTGGATTCCATAGTCTTCATGTTGAGATGATGGTGGATGTCTAGCTCCAAATTCAGCTCAGGTAGTCTCACTAAATGTACTGTTAGTTTCCCTACCGCTGTCCACACAGAGTGTGGTGGGAAAGTGTTGTTGGCGAGGTCCAATCCCTTGCTTGTCACCTTATCAACTCCAATGGTGAAAACCGATTGATGATAAATATGTCCTTCCTTCGCCAATGTATCCTAGAGAGAAAATCCTTCCTCCTTTCTATGCTTGTCAATGTGTTAGGCTATTGTGTGAACATAGCCTGCTCCTGGTAATCCTCGTCGAGAAGAGACGGATGTGTACCTTAAAAGGTTTTCGACCACCAACCATGTTGGTTGAAGCCACAAGTTATGCACCAAAGTATGATACAAGATCATGTCACTAGTGGTTACCTTCCTAGCATATCCCTTCTGCTTCATGTTAAAGCTGGTTTGGCCATTGTAGTGCACGAACCTGATGAGAGGCAACTGAATGATGGTGTGGGAGGAGTAGCCGAAAACAAACTCAGCTCCTTGATCTCGTGTGATCCTATTCCAAAGCTCGTGAAAGATAGTCATCTGTGTCGTGGGCTCCCAATAAGCTCCAAGGATGGCATCTGAGAGTGGACCTCTCATATGATAGTACGAGTTCCCTAGCTCTTCTGGTGAAGCTATCATCATCCCACCAATCTGTAAGAGATGCACCTCTAGCTTGAGCTTCCTGATGCTCCTACTAGGAACTCTCGAGTGAGAACACTGTTGCTCTCTCCTCTGATGTTGAATAATGACAAGAGACCAACATCGTTGAGTCTCTGCCTCAATTTTGCTCCCGATACTAATCGAAGTCCTGCCAGTCTAGCTCTCCTTGGTTGTCCTTTGGTATTTCTCTCCATCTCTGCACATTCTTAGCACTAGAACAACCAACGGGAAACTGGTGCAGGGTTGCCTACGATGTGCCTTCTCATATCTCCAACTTGCTATCAATCTCCACACCTCGACATCTGGTGGCAACTGTCCACCCCTGTTCCTTGATCTCCCTCTATCCTGCGATAGCCTTCCATTGATGATGCTGGCGAATCATCAAAAAATCAAAATTGAGAACCTAGCTCCCACGAACTCTCCTCCTCCTCTATCACGATCACTGGCTCCCTCATGTTGAGTCGTGCAGACCGTCAAGGTGCTGCATGCTCTGGCTCAACTCAAGGTGGACTAGGAACCCATGGCCCTCGTGATGAAGAAGCACCATCATCTTTTTTCTTCTAGTGTCGACCCATCCATTTGGGAAGTCGATTCATTTTCCTGCTCAAAAGAAACCAAGTTAGTATAGATAAAAGTGGATAACCCCACACTTTAAGAGCGTGGCTTTATCTATAGGCTAATCATATAACGTCTCATGTATGTATTAAGATGATAGTAATCTATATATTTCATTTATCATTGGAGCTCATGTAAATATATGAAGTATTCTAGTTCAAAATGTAGAAGTAGCATGAAGTACATATCTTGAAAATTTTGAAATCTACAAGTAATATGATTAGGCAAAGGTCGATTAATAAGTTGGCACAAGTAAAATGACATGTCATTCAATCCAACATAGCAATGAAATATCCTTCCTCAATTGCAATTTTGAAATCTCAAAACTTCTACCGGCAATTGTCAAAATTTAACGTAGCTTATCGTTAAAACTCAATTTGAAAGATGTTATGCTAGAGTTTTGAAAATTTTGTCATGTCCTTTGCTAAAAATCATCAATTCATCCAAGCAAACATCATTAAATATCATCATAAGCACCATGCAATGTCATTTCTAAGCATATAAGAAATCACCATACATTCATAAACATTGATGGTGCCTAACATACGCCGAAAATTATCAAGAGACTTTCCTACTAATCTCGAGAAATTTTAAACTTTGAAATACTCAATCAAAGTCCTTAATTCATGGTTCATTCTCATAAATTCATCTAAAGATCATGGGTACTTAATTGGATTGATGAAAGTTGCAGAAAAAGTAAAGAATTCTTAAAAGATAAAGAGATGGAGTGGCGGCTGGTCTGGCCTCCGTGGCTCTTCTGGTGAGTTTTTTTATGGTGTGAATCCATGATGATGGTAAACCTATCGGCCGATGGAGATTTCACAACAGTGACGAGAGTGCAATGCCAGGAGCATTTCGCCACACTTAGGGATGACAAAAATATCTGTAGCCATGGATATCCGTTCGAATTCGACCTAATCGGATAAAGTAAAACCCGAACCCAAATGACTTTTAGTGGGTTCGGATAAACGTGAACCCGAATATTGAGGGTAATGGATGTGCATGGTTTTTTCACTATCCAAGCCGAACCAGCCCAATTATACACATGCATATGTGTTTTGTCTAGAAATAATCATTATTTTTCTCTAACATATTTTATATTTAGCATATAAATATAATTTTCACGAAACCGTGTTGTTTTAATTAATTTTCTTCATTGTAGTGAATTATTATCGTAATTTTCTTCTTATGTAATGTGAGAATATGTGTGCATGTTAACATATTGGTTGGAGTTATAAAGAGAAACTTTTATCCATGGATAACCGTGGATACCCGAACGGGTATGGGCATGGTATTGATTTCTACCCGTTTCTTATGTGGGTATGTGTATGGGTATGGATAAAAGCCAAACAATTTGAGTAGGGTAACATATATGCACTATCATCTCCCGACCCGTTGTCATCCCTACTCAGGCCCACACTAGAAAGGAAGTCAAAGAACTAGTCCAAGTATCCATCAACGACTAAAAAAAAGCTTCCAAAGGAAAAGAGGATGATGTTGCTACCCTGGTCCATACATGAAAGAGCCTACTCAACAACTAAGGAAGAATATAATGGAGCCAAAGAATGGAGCGGTGGCATCCTTGTTCGTTTGTGAAGAGCATGTGGAGAAGAAGTTAATGAAGAATTCAAATGCTATAGCTATAAAGGGCAAGGACATGCTAATGTCAATTCTATAAATCAAGGTTGTCAATCGAGACATCAACAAGGTAGCTATGTTCATGAAGCACAATGGAAAAAGAAACCAATTCCACATGGATTTGGAAACCAACCTCAATACAAGGGGCAAGGAGAAGGTATCTCCAATCCACAACCCGAAACGCGAACGAGTATGGGCATGATTTTGATTTCTACATGTTTCTTATGTGGGTATGGGTATGGGTAAAACCCGAACTACTTTGAGTAGGGTAACAAAGCACTGGTCCAAGTGTCCATCAACGACTAAACCATTGAAAGCTTCCAAAGGAAAGGAGGAGGATGTTGCTACTTGCTACCCTATGTTCGTACATGAAAGATCTTACTCAACAAATAAGGAAGAATTTAGTGGAGCCAAAGAAT